ACTAGTAAACCTAATGCTGTGATATTTACTACTAAACTGGTCATTTTCAAATGAATATTAATATGTGAAGTTTGGTTTTCAAATCAATTTGAATGTGTGAAGCTTGGCTCTTATCTATCTATAGTGGGTACATATAAATGTATCATTTAACTGAAGCATTGCAAAATATGTCATGTCATTGACATTTCAGTTACACCTTGAAAGACTCCTAGGTAGTCGAACTTGACCATAATTCGTTTATTTTGGCGAGCAAAGTGCACTTTGTTTGTCCAGCACTTAAAACTAATCTTTTTATTTTTCTAAGAATATCTGCTCCGAAAGCCACTTCTGGTGCTCCAAAACACTGTTTTGGCTGCTCCAAAAGAAACTTTTGCTGCTCCAAAACACTGTTTTGGCTGCTCCGAAAGGTGCTCCAAAACGGTTTAGGTCAATCACATCACTGCAACTCCAAGAGAGAAGAAAAGCGCGTGTCCAGCGGTCCGCGCACCCCTCCCCTAGCATTGACTGTATTGCCACAAAACGCCAACCACTTTTTTTTTTTTTGTAGAATGCATGAGGAGAGGGTTGCAAGGGAGGGGGATGGGGTGTCCCGGTGTCTTGCTCCTTGACCTCGCCATTTCCCCCTTCCTCCTCTCTGGTCGGCTCTGTCACGTGATGAGAGAGAGGGTAGGGCACGCTCCACGCTGATAAGCATAGCCAGATCCGGCTGCGCGCGCGTTGACAGTCGCTTGTGTCTTTGTCTGCTTGTTTTCCGTTCCAACTTCGTTTTTCCTGCCTGCTTCGATCTGTCGCCTTTCCCTGCGTTGTTATAAGGATGTCTCTCGACAACGTATGGGATGTGCACCAAATTTTCGAAAAGTCCTCCGTGTATATCGGCAACAAGCGATTCTTCAAAGAAGTCAGGAATTCTCGCGGTTTGGCTGGGTTCGGCAAATGACAGCTTGTGCGCCGCATCGTGTTGAGACTTCAACGAGCCTTCCTTCTCGTTTTTGTGTTTGTGTGGTTGTCCTGCTTTGACCACGTCAACATTTAGCTTGGATTACAACTTTCAAGTCCGCTATTTTTATGGTAAGTGCACAGTGCAACCTACGTGTTGGCAACGATTGACCGCTCTTCTACGCGTACTCTTCCAGGTTATCCGTAGAATTATGCAGCGCCTATTCACGCGGCAGCCGGGATAATAATTTCCCCGAAAGTCTAGCTGTATAGTCTAGAATTACCTCGGTTCTTGTTTGCTTTGCAATCTTCTCAGTAGTATAAAAGCTTAAAGTGCCTCGCACATTTCACAGATCGCTTGCACGTTTGTACTTGTCGTCAGAAGAGGTAATAAACTTCGAGGAGAATTGAAAACAATCTTTTGTGTCTGTTTTCCTATCCATTTGCAAGCACCTACGCGAGCGAATTTGTTCTAGGTGTTTCCTCCGTGGTATAAATAGGTTTATGAGTTTCGGAACGTCTTAAATAAGTTTAAAATAACCAACCTCCCAGACGATACCCATTTAGGGCTAGCGAATCCGAATGGCACGTTCAAACGTGTGGTCACGTGCGAGGTTGACCGGGCACCCGTATCAAACGGGCACCGGTATCAAATGAGTACCGGTTCGAACGGGTACCGTTTCAGACGGGTACCCGTATCCCATAATCACGTTTGATTCAAACGGATCGACAGGTTTGATTCAAACGGGTCGACCAGTTTGAATTTCAAATGTTTTTTTTTTTCAGTAGGGGAGTGTTTTTTAACTGGTACCCATTGCCCCGGAGGTAATCGGAGGTGCATGTGTTTTTACGGAAATGGCAGCAAATGTTGTATGAAGTCAAGTCGCCACAGAGCTGTTGTTTTACTCTTGCTGGCGAGCTATTTAAAAAAATCAACTTATAAGGCACTTATATGTGTCGGTCTTATAACCGCAATTACTTCACTCAGAGGTATGGCCAGATGACGTCTTGAAAGAGGGCGTTTTCACACGACGATACGCCTTTTTTTTTTGTCTTCAGATTAGAGGAATGTACATTGAAGTCGGGAGTTTTCTTTCCTCAAAAATACAAGCACATGTTCAGAGAATGTACTTCAAGTAAAGTGCAAGTTTTCTAAACAGTAGTACCTTAAGTGCCACGTACTTAGAGTACTTCCCAACACTGCTTGTTAATTATTTTTTATATAAAAACGTTGGGGGAATTGCCAAGGGTTCTCGAACGATCTTCAGATTTATGAAGATCTGCGTATTATATGTTTTAAGAGAAAAGGCCACGGGCAAAACGGTCCCGCTGCGTTGCCCTTTACCACGCGATTCTTTGAGTACAGCACAAACTACGGGAGCACCACATGAGCTTCAGAGCAGGTGCTGCATTTTCTTGCCTCCTTTGAGTGAGGATGCAGTGTGTGCATCTCCTGTAGTGGGCGAGAATTTCTACGTTCGGGAACCAGCCCTTTCTTCGAATGGGTCAAGTCTCCTTGAGCTTCGGGACACAAAGAGACGCCAGCCTTCGGTGCTAATCCAGAAGTTACTCGGCCTCTCTTGCGTCGTGCTGTTCGCTCCCCGCGCTTCGTAGCAGTGTTGTTTGAGGGGGGGGGGGGGGGGGGGGGGCTCGGGAAACGTTTTTGGAGGGTTTCGGACTCTCCAACCTATTTTCTTATCCCGTAGGCCATATGCTCCCCCCTCTATGCAAATATCAGCTAATCTTCCAACCTCTTATCTCTTTCGTGCAGGAATGTTTGTTGATATCCAAAACAACCACTAAAATTCGAAAGTAATTTCTAGTTTGAGTAGAAGTTACTCAGAAGAAGTAATTAAAGTAAACTACTAATGACCGAAATAATAATGTAATTGAAAGTTACTAAACTACTGAGAAAATTAGTTAAACTACAGTAACTTGAGTAGAGTAGTTGAACTACGTACAAGTCTAGAAAGAACCAACGCTAACGCATGTCTATCAAATAAATGTTATTGATCGCCGAACGATTTTTTCTTAGGGTGACTTTTGTTGTTGGAGTAGCTGCGCAGCGGTGACGAGAACGTGGAAAGAAACTTGGATTTTTTGTTGGTTCCTTCCAAATTGATTTCATCGCACTCGCCGAATATTCGTTTTCTTTACAAAATCACAGTTCAAATACAATTTTTGTTGTAAACAATAAAAAAAGAGTAATACAAATTCGATCATTATTTTCCCCTACGCTTCAGGGTTACAGCCTACCTACGTCACTTCGAAAAGGCAAAATGTAAAACAATATAAAAGAATCTGATATTTTTCAATTTCAGAAATGCCATTTCCGTCCTCGGTGTGTTTTGGGAACCCAATGACGCTTTGTCCACCGATTTTCATGTAAATAAAAAAAACAAAAAAAACGGAAGTATTGAACGGAAACGGTTTTCGGAGGGAAACATGTTGAAGGAAACAAGTCTCCTTCAAGTGGTAAACACTTTCCTTGGACAAATCGTTTTCAATGTTCTTTCAGGCTTTTCTTTTTTTTTTTTTCCACAAATTTTAGAAACAAGATATTAGTTTTGCATTATTTCTTCTCCATCCGAGAGCAATCTTCTACGTAGCATGGCGAACAAAAGAATACGTCGTTTACCTTTTTACGTATTAAATTTGTTTGCGTAGTGATGGCGGTAAGAATGTACAAAACGCTTCTGGTACGAAAATATTGCATATAATGGGATCTCACAACCCCTTAAACATTTAAACATGTATTTATGACGTTGCAGAATAACTGCGTCTGTGTAGTTGTGACGCCTTCAGACTCGCAGCGTTGTACGCGTCCCTCCAAAACAGGAACGAAAACTTGTGTCTTGTTCCTTCTTAATATTGGAGCCAGTTTGCGTTACAGCTTCAAGGAATCCGAAGTAACGCGCTTCCGTTACCTCTCTAAGATTGAAGCGAGTCGTTACTTTAACGTTAGATTTGCCTGTTCAAATAAAATATTCTGCCGGATTAATTTGCTAATAAAATAAAGCAAGCAAGCCAAAATATCAAGATTAAAATACGTGTCGAGCCGACGTAATCACATTCATTTCCGTCTTTTGTTTTCGACGATCTTTAGGGCACTTACCCTTAGCTTGAAGTCGGAGTTTGAAGTAGTCGCTAATAAGATTAATAATATTCTCTAATATTAATTTTTATTTCGACTTCTAGGTAAACAACCTTTACGTTACTAGGGCCCACCCCATCAGTGCGGTGTATAGTAACAAAACCATCAACAGGCACATAAATCTTCCAGAGACCACGTTCCTATATACGCTAGATCGCAAGACGAAACCGCATCGCCGTTCCTCCTGTTGATCTCTCGGAAAGGTAAGGAGTGCCCGCCTCACTCCTACTGACGCAAAATAAAACGCTTGCCTTCTTCCGTTCCACCTAAAACGAACACTTTCCGAGAACACAGTTTTACAGCGGAGCTGTTAAGCACTTTTTTCCCAGTTTCATGTCCGGTACCAAACAAATGTCGACACAAAACTCCACAAAACTCTGGACAGCTATTGCCACCTATGAGCGACGGCGGCAACCAAACAACCAGTCTGGTTGTCGTCGTCTCTCATATATGGCGGCAACGTATCCTGCTATCATAGAAGAATGGATAGTCGGTCGAGTTGGTGGGAATTCATCGTAGGAAACAGCGCGCAAAACAGACGAGGGCGATGAAGAAACAGACGTGACAAGTGAAAGGAAGACCAGCTTGACTGGTCTTCTCTCTTGATTATGTTGGAAAAGCTAAATGCTTTTTGAGAGCGCTGGCTTGTGCAACACTACTTCAAAGAGACTTCAACTCGATGGTGAAGTTCGGATAATTACAATTCCATTAATTAATAGTAATCTTTAATAGTAATCTTTAGTAGTAATCTTTAATAACTAATTCTTAGAGGCAGGATCAAGTTCCAGGTCTTGTCAAAGCCTCAAGGGCTTGTGGGACTAGACCCAGCAGTTGCAGCAAGCTTATTGAAAATGTTCACATTGTCACGTACACACACTCACACACACACACACACACGTACAAACACGAATCACACACCGATGACATGTTCTGCTCCAGGCGCAAGTTCACATTTCTGTCGGTCCTGAAAAAGTGCAGGAAAACACGTAGTCTCATCAGAAAATAAACGCACACATACGCAAATACAGTAGCCCGAGAATACAATGAAGACCATAGTCGTATCGGAAGCAGGAGCGAACTGCCAAGGCCAACTTATTTCCTCAAAAAAAAAAAAAAAAAGGACGCGCGCGTTTTTTTGCAGTATTGCATTTCTTAAGGAAAAAAGAAGCATTTTATACTTTCCAAAAAGAAAAGAATGAAAGATATGCGCAGTCACAGTTACTTTGAAAACTTACTTACAGGATTACTTTCATAAAAAAAAAACGTTTTTTATGTTTTTTTTATATTTTCATTAAGAAAAAAGAAAAAAAAAATCCTAGTGAGGTACAAAATATTTCTTACAATCACGTTTTTAATGATAGCTCAAAACGTGTAAACAAAAAAGTGAACTGAAAAGATTACCTTATAAAACTAAGGTAGAAAAAAAGAAGATGGATGGTCACTGTTTTCGCACATCCGAGAACATGCTTCTCAGACATTTTTTCAACATTTTGTTTGAGTTAATGGAAAGCAGAGATTCTGGAAGACCATTAAAAATTTTCGGGACATAAAATGTGCGCAGACTTTCACCATAGTGAGTTCTCACCCTAGGAGTGACGAAACGTGGAACAGATCTGAGTTCGCGAGATGGAGTAGACGCGAGTTTGAAATCACTTTCCCAGAAATGCCGCCAAACGACAGTTTGAAGGAAAAGCGAGTAAAAAGACGGCAACTCAAGTGAAATGAAGAGGTTAGCATTGGATGAAAAGTCGCTGTTGTATGCGACACTTTTTAGAATCCCTTTTAAAACTCGGTCAATTCTTAAATGCCAGGATAGTGAACAATTGAAAAAGACAGTTATGCCGTACCTTAGTACGCTGTAAGCTAAGGCGTGCATTATGTTCCTTCTAACTGACAATGGTATAAAACCTTTAATGTGGTACATCATGCACGACACGCTCCTCAACCGTTGACATACGTAAGACATATGAGTGTCCCATGTAAGATCACAATCAAAGTGAATACCTAAGTACTTTACTGAACTAACATATTCGACAGGTCTACAATTACAACATGGACAAATGGAGCAGTGAAGGAATAGTGGAAAAGTCAAACTGACATTTTTTAAAGGATTACGGAAGCAGATCAGTTTTGTTTTCGAAGCATTTACACGTAGCTTGTTTGCCGAAAACCAGTCAATAATTTTGGTTGCGTCTGCCTGAAGCATTTCCATAGCACGCTGGTAAACTAAGTGCCGAGAAAACAAAAGAGTGCCGTCCGCATATTGAAAAATTGTTGAATTTGTCGTTGCCGCAGAAATGTCATTTACATAGAGGTTGAATAGTAAAGGAGAAAGAATGGAGCCCTGGGGAACTCCAGAAGTAAGGAAAACTTGAGAGCTGCGGACATTGTCTACTGAAACAACCTGTGTACGATTTGAAAGAAAACTCTTGAGCAATGTATGAAATGGTCCCCGAAAGCCGATTCTATAGAGTTTGTCTAAGAGGATGTTGTGGTTCACGGTGTCAAACGCTTTGGCTACATCAACGAAGAGGGCACACACATACATGTTATCGTCGAAGGAAGAGTGCACAATATCTGAGAATTTCTCAAGGAGATTAGTTGTACTACGACCAGCAACAAACCCGTATTGACTTGGCGAGATTAAATTGTATTTGTCGAGAAAACCGGACATAACAGTAAAAATATGTTTTTCTAATATCTGTGAAATACAAGATAGTATTGAGATTGGCCTGTAGGATGACACTTGGTTTTGTGCGCCACCTTTGAAAAGAGGAACAACTATGGCTTGTTTTAAGTCATCAGGCACATTACCAGTTTCTATAACATTATTTATAAGAACGAGGAGCACGCTTTTTAAAGAGTCATAATTCCGACACAAGTCTCTAACTGTAAGGCCGTCTACACCCGCCGACCTGAATCGCTTAAATCCAAACAGGTAGGACCGCAACTCAGCTTCTGAGAGAGAAGGAAGGAAAGCAGATTCATAGTGAAACGGAGTTCCGGGTGTCGAATCCACCGCGCTATCAATTGGCACAGTAATAGAGTTAGCGAAAAAATTATTAAACGCGTTGACAGTAGTCGCCATATCAGTCCCAAAGTGTTTGCGTAATGTCTCAGTTACGTTCTTTTTTAGATAGCCACGAAGCTCATTGACGACCGTCCAAGTTTTCCTGGAGTCCGAACGAGCGTCCGATATTTTTTTAGCGAAATAGGTTCTCTTCGTTGACCGAATGAGGGCATTGACTCGATTTCTTTGCATCTTACATTCTAGTTCGAGAGAGGCATTGTTGGGGGACCTCCGAAACTTCTTCCACAGTTTTTCTTTGTGACTTATAGCTTCAAGAATATCTGGGGTGAGCCAGGGCAGTGAGGGCTTGCGTTTTTTAACATATACAACGGTCTTCGATAACTCCCGGAAATTTCTAAGGATGTCTACAAACATTGAGTACAGGTTCGTGCTGTTAACCGAGGATAGGAATTCATTCCAATCATATTCTTTAATTAGTCGATCAAAAGTGTTGAAGTCAACCCGCTCTAAACGACACGCACTTTCGAAATTATTACCTTTTCTGGAGGGAAAAACACATTTACATACGACAAAATAATGATCTGCAAGCTTTTGTAAAATAACAGCGGAGTGTATGGAAGCATCTGGAGCTCGTACGTTTACATGATCTAGGCAGGATGAGACCAGATTTTCATTTAATACTTCTTCGCGGGTCACACTCTGAATGGTAGGTATGATTCCATGCTCGGCAAGTAGTGATAAATAATCACAAACACAATTTTTGGAAGTTTTCAGGGTGTCAATGTTGATATCTCCCACCAAATATAAATGTGCTTCATTAGACAATTCTCTCAAATTTTCCCTCAGCTAATCTAAGAAGCCAGAGCAGTTGGACGAAGGAGGTCGGTAAAGAGCAAGCAAGCAAACCGCATAGTTAGAATTAGAAACCTTTAGCATCAAGCTCTCCGAGTGTTGAAATGTGACATCAGTTTGAGTTGTTGACCATGAGTTCTTTATAAATACGCCGATTCCTCCTCCTCTAGTAATTGGCCGTGTATAAAAGAAATTTTGAAATCCTAAAATATTAAACTGTGACAGATGATCAGCACTGACATTGATTTCTGTTAGCACAATTGCATCAATTTGGTCCCGCATTTGATCAACAACTGTCTTAAATTCATCCCAGTATTTTCGAATACTGCGAATGTTTATGTGTAAGACCATGAAAGAGTCGGTTGAAGAAGAAGAAAACGAGCTATTAAACGAGAGAAAATCGGCGTACTGTAAAAAACTAGCCATGTCGGTTATGTGATTAGGTCCAGGTCACTTCTCTGCTGAATCCGTACCGGAGAAGCGCCCTCATCTTTTTTGGCATAAATTCGAGCATTTTTGACCCACACAAATTTGTAACCGCGTTCTTTTCCAAGAGTACGTGCCTGCCAGAAAAGTTCTCTGTTGGTCTGAGTTAAGCTGTCGTTGAAATACAGTCTTTCGGGTGGATTGTCACGAGAAAATTGCCTGAGCTTGCTGCGAGCTTGCATCCATTTGTCTTTAGTGGCTACAGATGTAAACTTGACCAAAATAGGAGGTTTTATAGATGGTTTGCCTGGTAGCCTGAAAACCGACACGACATCAGCTGGTTGATGTCCCGGAATTCCTAGCTTGTCAGCCAGCCCCGCTAAGATGGAAGGGAGAGCCTCGTCGGTTTTGACGGTCATTCCATGAATTTCCATAATATGTTGGCGACCGCGTTGGTCAGCGTCGTTCATCTCGGTTTGGAGGCTTTGGATAGTATGTGCCTGTTCGCAAACCGTGTCCTTTAGTGAAGCCACTTCCGTACGCAGCTCGCTCATGTCGGTCGCATGAGCAGACACCGTGGCGAGGAGGCTATCGTATTTCTTTCCTAGGAAGGAAATGGAAGTTTGAACCTCCTCCACAGTCACGTTCATGCGATCTATGGTAGGCTTGAGGAGCAAGAGCTCATTCACCTTTGCGGGAAGCTCGAGCAGTAAATTTACGCTAGCCTTCAGAGAAAGTATTGAATCTAGCTTTTCGTTGATGGTCAGGATTTGCGCCGCGAGTGTCGTGGTTTCGCAGGACTAAATCGAGTCAGAGCTAGCATCGACCCCGTCTTTATCAGCACGACTGTTCTTAGAACGGCAAACTTTGCACCTCCATTTTTCTTTTTTGTCGGGGCTCATGGCAGTAAACGTGGACTCAGCAATGCCGGAACACGTTTTCCCGAGATGATAGTTATGATCGCAAACTGAGCATGTCATGAGTCTACCATCAGGCAAAATGCCTTTTTGGCAAGCGTCGCAAACAAGGGACATAATCGTCGAATTAAATGGCATTAAAATAAGTAGAAAAAATTTAAGTGCTGTAAGCACACCTAGGCAGGTTACACCAGCGAAACAGTATATCAAGAGCAGCTTGGCACGGTCACCGAGAAAATGGAACTCCTCAAAGCACTGATGGTCGGTTACCGGCAAGGCTCGTCCGTGGATGTTCGCTGATTGGCCCAGGGTAGATGTTGAGTCGCAGAAAGTCGCCGAACGTCACGGATGGGCATGGGCAACGACTGCTGACTGAATGGTCGATGTACGGTAATGGCGGTGATGAACGGGGCTGCAGTCGCGATCTTCGAAGCAGTAAATCGGAAGCCACGACTGGATGTCGATCCTTGAGCCGGTGAGATGAGGTCGCCTAACTCCCCGTTAAACCATTTAGGAGGCAAATTAAAGGTCAACGAATAAAGATTTTAAATTACATTTCTCAGAGCGATTAGAACGAATGCCCGGACATATTCACTACTTCTTCTTCTCAATCGCATGAGCAGACACCGTGGAATTTAAATTACTCTTAAAACCAGAAATAGTAAAAGAGTGCGTTAAAATTTCTCGCTTTCGTTCGCGACGTCATTTAAAATTGAGTCTAGGGTAACGCGGAACGATATGCCAATATTTACATATTTAAAATGGCATTTCGAAAACAGTCCAGTATTCCTTGGGCATATATTTCTGGTGATTGCGGAGTAAGAAAATCGACAAAAAGAAAAGGGAGTAATTAACTAGGGAGAGATGGAGAGAAACAAAAGACGACATGGTGTAACCGGGACATGAACAACTCGGGACGTGACGTGATATTATATATCGCATGTGTTGTGACAGCCCTTTTGAGCCGCAGTCATACTGCTCATACATCCTACAAAAGGCACAGTCTGCAGACACGATGAGAAAATTACATACAGACACGCTTCAAACGTGTTCGAATCATAGTTGCTCCTTAACATGTACGCTTAGAACATGTCTGGAGACAGTTCTTTTATGATGAATGTGACAATCCTAGAATAAAGAAACACGCCTCGGCCAGTTTAGGCACACTCACTTTGGTATGATGTATCAGCCGTGTGATCGTGGCCTAGGATTCATAAAAAGCATAAATAAGTCGGTATAAAAAAATGCTCACGTTTGGTTTTTTGGGAACAGACTGATTCCTGGAATCACACAAAGACCTCGACCTTTACTTGTCTGACCTATCAATGATTCATGACACAACAGATATTAGGCTTCAAAGACTAGTTAAAACGCCAACAAACAAAAACAAATTCTACAGAAAGTTGGCTAAGTATCTTCTTAAATTATGTTAGCTCAATATGTCTGGAAAGCAAAACGAAAAGTAAATGCCTTTTGGTTCTACCCAAATTTTTCGTAGTGCACACTATATATAATAATAAATAAATAACTACTATTTTATTGTCTCTGTTTCAACACAGTACATAGACCAGCCCGCAAAATCATGGGTACGCTTGTCTGAGGTACTTCCCGTCCAACAGGTTGCTTACATAATTATAACAAATCATGCATTACCTGCATGAAACTAAACAAAACCAAACAAAAAGAATTGTTCCTGACAAGAGAACAACCGAAAAACTGGGTCCTTTTCAGTGACCTATCGACTGACAGCACCATTCTCTCAAGTCTTGTGTTAGTCTTTTTAGAGAATCCAGGTTATAAAGCTCTTCCGGTAACTTATTAAAAGGAACATAGTATGACCTTGCATTCTTTCCATATTTAGTATAAATCCTAGAAGGAATGAAATTTTCTGTTCGCAACAGAATTCAATTGGATTAAAGGAATTCTAAAATCACTATTAATGTTTTACCAAAATTACATAACAGTGCGAGCTCTCAGTAGTTAATACTCCGGCGGCATTAATTTTCTCATCTTTCCCTACCTCTTCGCGCATTGTCTTATATGTGATATTACATGCAATTTATAATTATAAAGTATATTATCGATTTTTTTTTATAGTTGGAACACATTTCGTATAACGATATTTCATAACATAGGATAGACTCACCCAGTGCGTTATATACCCTCCTTCACAGAGAAGCGTTCGCCATACTACGCAACCTATTAGGCTGAGACCCTCTCATTTTTTTAATTATATATTTCACATGATCATTCCATAAAAGACATAATCTAAAGGTACGTGGCTACAGGTGTTGCAACTATCTGAATGAAAGAACAGTGGAGTTCACAAGTGAACACATTTGTACGAACTACGGAAGCACATCAACTTAGTTTTACTAAAGTTAACAAAAATACGATCGTCAGGAAACCATGTGAATAATAATTTGATATCTTTCTGGAAAATTGAAAGTGCGCTTGTTTGATCGCTATGTTCTAGTACAAGGGCTGTATCATCTGCATATTTATACACTCGAGATGCAAGAAGCACTGCTCCAATTTGATTTACGTAAATAATAAACTGTGAATGTTTTATTGTTGATCCCTGTGGTACTTCCGATTTAATCCATATTACATTATTTTTCCAGTCTCTTATTTTAACCAGTTGATATCTGTCTGTAATGCAATCATGCAGAAATGTAGTGAAAGGCCCCCTAAAACCCATATTCCATATCTTTAATAAAAGTTTTTCATGACCAATTGTTTCAAAAGCTTTTGTCAAATCGAGAAAAATGGCTAACGCTCAATGATTCTTGTCGGGACTACAGTTAACATAACCTGTAAAATCTTGCAGCAAAAGTTAAGTGCTCTTACTTTTACGGAATCCGTACTGGGATTAGTGTATAAAATCATACTTTTCACAATATGAAGTCATTACATTGAACACCCACTTTTCCATAATCTGTGCTATAACTGAATTTATAGAAATAGGTCTGTGATTTGAAACGCCCTTTCTATCACCATTTTTGTATAACGGTCTAACTATAGCGGTTTTAAACTCTACCGGGGCTTGCCCCGTTAAAAACAGTCGTTTACGATTTTTATTAAAACTTCTTTTAGCTTAAAAAATTATGTTGAATATCTCTTAAGCGTATTTTATCAATCCCCGCCGGTTTTGCCAGTGACATATATGTTATTACATCTTCAAGGCCTATTTTTGTCATCTGTGGTAAGTATACGGAACGCAAATTACCGTCGTAATCCTCTGGTTCTCCCCCTTGATATCTTATCCTTTTTCCGAGATCAGTGACCCTTTGAGCAAAAGAATCGTTAAATAAATTACACAACGAGATAATGCTGTTGTCTCCAAATGTCTTTGGAATTGTTTTATCAATTGTTCGCTTCCTTTTCTAGCCGGTGATCTGGTTGATCAAGTCCCCCTCTCCTTTAGGTTTCCATGGCACTTCTGAAATCTATTTGTGTAATAAAACGTTTTTGCTAGTCTTATTTTCGCGGTTACCTTATTACGTAACTTTCGAAATTCTTCTCTTATTTGAGTATTGTCGGGGTTTGCCTAACATATATTTCATAACCTATCTTTTTCATGGCATAGCGTCATGATTTCATCATTTATCCATACCTTTTCTGGTTTTCTTTGTTTTAGTTTAACTGTTTTCCAACACTGTTCATAAAGGGACCTCATCTTGTCACTGAACCGTTGATAAGCAGTAATATGGTCGTATTCCAATAGTGACCCCCAATTATATGCTCTTATCATTTTGTCAATTCTGCTATTGTGTAGTATGCGTTTACAGACCGTATGTTCGGTTCCCCTGGAATTTACTTCCAATATAGTCAGAGCTACCAAATAGTGGTCGGCAACTTTTTGCGTAATCACCACTGAAATTAACGTAAGATCGCTGCCTCTAACAATGATATGATCAATACAGGAACGCGTTAGGCGCGTTCCTAAACACTCTTCCCTAGTGTAATCATTAATTACATGCTCTAACCCGTAGCCTGCAAGTAGATTCAGGTTAGTTAGGATAATTAGTAGACCGTAGATTTTCCGGCAAATCTTTATAAAAGAAATCGGCAAATGTTTTCTTTGCTTTCTTTTTTATTTTTTTACGGGGGTGGGGGGATTCATTTTGAAGAAACCGTTGTATTTTGATCATCCGCTTCGTACGTACGCTAAAGACGGGAATTATTGGTAAAGAAAGGTATACTAATATATATAATAATACCAATTTTAATCTAAGACGGTAAGGTTTTGGAGACAAAATCCTAAGTAAAGATTAAGTTAAGAAAGGTGTTTTTTTTTGTTTTGTTTGAACCTATTTTTATGTTTCACACCCCAGAATGTCTACGGTGTTTTTTTTAGGAGTAAACCGGAACGTGTATTGCCTAATTAAAAGAGAACTACGCAACTAACTGTAGAAAAAAAAAATCAGAACATGAAATGTCAAACCTGACGTAAGTTTTTTTAGGGCAGTTCTTTTTTTTTTTTTTTTACATTACCGGTTAGGGGAGCGCGGAGGTTACCCAAGATTAAATTCTACATAAAAAGACGTACAAGAAATCTTAAAAGAGCACCAAGACCTTACGCGAATGCAGGAATCCTTTGAGACGTTGTCAAAAAAGTAAAGTTCCGAAATAGAAAGCAGGTCGGGGAGAACAAGGACGGGGGGGAAAAAATGGCGTATCGCGTTAAAACGTACGACACGCAAAACGAAAAAAAAAATCGCCAGGGTTTTTCGCTTACAGGGACCTTTTCCATCTGGGGTGACGAGAAAATACCGCCTATGCGTTGAATGAAAGGGTCTGCTTGTGAACTGGAGGGACAGACCGAACACTCAGCACAAGACGTACATGCAATTTCGCTAACGCCCGTCCACGAAAAGATG